TTCCGTCATTAATTTATGCAATCTCATAATAATAACTGATGCCACACCATTAGTCACGGAGATGGATATTGTAGACAGATTCTCCAACCAAAGTCCAGAAACAAATCCCGTTGACAACCACTGCTGTAATCCATGAGCAGCACAGCTGCCCACCACATCAGTGAACCGGCCCAACGTAAATATGTTGACGTAGTAATCAATTTACAGCCAGTAAGCCTATAGATAGACACGGTATCTGACATTATGATATTATCGAAGAGGCTATGGAGACGATTGGGTTAACTCACTTTGGAGAAGACTGACCAGATAGCCATCAATGCAAGTGGTGGAAAACTCCCTTTGACAAAGTAGTCAAAGTGCATCGTCAGGTTTAGTGAGATCCAGTTTATCGGTACATGCTCTGTAGATTTCGCAAACCTTAATTCATCGGGTTTGGATTGGTTTGAAAGCCTTCAACTCTCGGAAATCCCCTTCGACAGCAAATGTGACAGAGTTGAAGCGAGAAATTATTTGAGTTCACTGCAATTATTCAAGGCGTGGTTCCAGCTTAAATCAAGACGCAGAAAAGCCAAGAAAGTAAATCTACGACCAAGCGTCACGACTGCACCCCGAATAACTGTTAAGAAGTTACCAGAGCCTCAGAAACCAGCACCTTCAGAGTCGTCTCCAGAAGTAGCACCACTGCCAAAACTATCCGGCGCAAAGACACCCGCAGCAACACCAAAAGTCCCTACTTCCACTGTTCCCAAACCCACGGCTTAGATCTTTTCACAGCGAAATTATCGGAATAGTACTGTGGTTTATTTCCAGAACGGCGATCTTGTCTATACTTGAGATTATCGCCTAGGAGTAGAGAAATGAGCAAAAGGCCGGATTAAACGTCAACTTGGAGCTGTTTCGTACGAGGGTACATTGGGTTACTAAACGTAGATGAGACAAAAAAACTGATTAGAAGAGCTCCACAGGATATCATCGAAACCTGAGATACCTCTAGTTATCCTACTTGATGCATTTAAACTACCTCCGGTGGATACGAAGGTACAAAAACGTGAGTTAGGGAACTAAAAGAATCTCAACCCAGAAGGCAATCCAGTCGCAAGAGATCCACGACAGTATATTTTCAAGTTGACCCAAGGAAGAAGAGGTATTAATTTTATTGTACAAGTCCATGCCTTTCTTGACAGGGGAGGTGGTACATACAGACCTAATTTTCTACTTGGCATTTTTACATGTATGTTTGTATTTCTATCAACCCACTTATTCATTTAAGAACAAATTTTCTCTAACGCCACTGATGATGTTTGAAATTCTTTTGATTGTTCACTGCCTTAATTTTTCAATGACGTTGGTGCTTCTCAAGATAATCTCTTATCAACGTCCAGTCTTTTCTTCTGTCTTTTGTGGCCCATCGGTGTTAATGTTGTTGATGTGCGATTAGGACAGATTAGTCAGCACATTAAGTTCGTATTCGTTCATAGTCTACCAGGTCATAGTTTCGGTCACAACTGTCATTTAATTAATAGTTCTCATCTCTTGATAAATACAGTATTGTCGATTGTAGGTTCGTACAGAACATGAGTTCCTTCAGCGTTGATTGATGTTACCTTTGTGATGATAGGATAAAACTGAGACCCACTAGAAACGGTCAACAAGCAATTTTAAACGGTAGGATGACTGTTGAACAAAATTTAGTCAAATTCATTGCCATTCTGATCCGACGCATCTGTACTCCTGATGATCTAGAGACAGAACTAGACCTTCTGAAGGAAACTATCTAAAATGAATACCCACCTAGATTCAATGTCAAGAATATCGAACAGAAAGTCCAGTGGAAGGAAACAATACCTGTACCAAAACAAAACATCAACAGAACTCTGCATGAACCGGAACTTAAAGGGGGACTTAATTTACGATGTGCTTAGGAGTAAGAATTCATCGTCTTTGAGAGGAAGATTCTTTACAGGAATGCTAAAAGCAGTTCTCTTCAGTAACCAGAAAGACAAGAACTCGCATATGACCACTTGTATGTGCGTAAATCAGTTCACCTGTGCCTGTAGAGCCAGGTGTATTGATTGTTAGAAGTGTTTCCTGTATAAAAGAGTACAAGAGCACTATCGAGCATAGTTGCAGAAAGCTAGCAGTGGCCCTATAGAGGAGTGCAATAATCAAACACCTAAGCAACACTTGTCATTACATTTCAAAAAACGCCTCCTTCAAGGCAGTCTACAAAGTGAAAAAATAACCTGCCTTTGCATTGTTAAAGTTCTGGCCATTCAGATAAAGAAATCTGTTCTGCAGATACAGACAAAAATTATTCAACCACTTCTACTATCATGGTTACAACCAAGTCTATCCCCATTAATGTTATTTTGGTTTTTTTGAGTTTTCAAAGCTATTGCACTTGTTTTAGAACTCCTACGTAATTTCACGTTTTTCTTCGTTAAAATGTGCATCATGATTACAGCTCATTCATTTAATTATTCATCTTATTACGCAACTCTAATATACTATTTATCCAACTCCCTTTAGGCGTTAACAAATATTAACAAGTATAATTGTGTGTCGGTGTCACAGTGGTTAGGACTCTCGCCAACCATGCACATGGTCCGGGGTTCGATTACCTGCCGACGCACACCTGATATCGATATTCGGCCCATGTAAAATGTAAGATGATGTTGCAGGATTGAACCACACCGACCCCTAGATTAGAAATAGGAAGTGAAGTGGTAGAGCACGTTGACCACTTCACTTACTTGGGAAGTACCATCAGCCAGTGCCAACGGGTTGATCTCCGACGAAATCTCAGCACGAATACAGAAGGCTAGGTTCGCATATGCCAGTTTACGCCGTCTCTGGCTTAGTAGACGTGATATCCGACTATCGACCAAAGGGCGGGTGTACTGCTCAGCTGTCTTCTCCGTCCTCCTTTATGGCTGTGAGACCTGGCCATTGAGAGCGGAAGACATGAAAAGATTAGCTGTCTTCGATCATAGGTGTCTGCGTTCTATCTTCCGTGTGAAGTGTCATAATAAGGTGAGCAATATTAAGGTTGGGCGTCGAGTGCTAGGTAAGGAGGCAAAATCAGTCAACGAGGCTGTGAAATTACATCGACTGAGATGGTTAGGACATGTGTTACGTATGCCTAGTCATCGCCTTCCTCGACTAACGGGCAATGTTAGCTGATATAGGGCCAGGCTGGAAAAGAGCTAGCGGCGGTCAAACGAAAGCATGGCACCAGTCAGTGAAATATACAACAGTCAGTCTAAGCCACGTAGGAAGGTGTAGACTTCGTGGTTAGGGTCCTCGAGACGGTAAATACCAATGGTTGGAAACAATTGGTGACATGGCTTAAAATCGTTCTCAGTGGCGCAGATGCACCCACTCCTTGTGACTTATGATTTCCAATGAAACTGTTTTGTTCTTCGTTATTACTATTCCTTTGTCTCACACCTGTGTTTACTGTCTCTAATATGCATTTCTTCTACTTTCTTCTCTTGCTTTGTGTGCTGAGTGAAGCATGGAGACTTGAACTGCCGCACATATGTGCAAAGTTCTATGTCGAAAAAGAAGAAGATAGTCGGCTTGCAAAACTTGGGCTATCGATATCATATGCTGAAAATTCCATACTTGTACCAATAATACGGTGTGGAATCAGGCTATAATAAAAAATACTTTTGTTGCTGAAATCTTTAGTGGAGAAAAATTGCATACAAATGGGAGTGTACTGCTAGAAGGGGAAAATGAATTCGCTGAAAAGAACCTCTTCCCTGAACACCACCTGTCTTGTTTTCATTAATGTCTGGATGAGGATTATTCATGAGAATTGTATTCCTCGCACAATCTATATCGTTTGGGGGTTAAACTGACAGGTATTTAAAAAGGGTACGTAGCATATGAATACGCTTAAACTACACAACAACAACAGGCGCCTAAAATGGGCCATAGATGACTTAATCGTGAAAAGAAAAGCAGTTTAAAAAATATCGCCCAGATGTTTACCGTGAAGTCATTCTAGATGGGTCAAAGTGAAAATAAACCCCTGTAATAAATTACACATCCCTCTTTGACTTAAACGATACGAATGCATGATAAACCACAGCTCAATGAAACAAGTAGCACCACCACAAATCAATTTCATAGGTGGATAATCATCCTCACACTCAATTCAGTGAACTCAATTGGTCACGACTTCTCACGAGAACTTCATCCATCCGGTAGTCAGTAACTGGTGAGCACTAGGTTGAGATTTGATTACTCGCCGACGACACTGGCTGGTGGTGATTCTATATGGCGTGATTTGATAGCAGTTACAATTTAGGGGTCGTTGTGTGTTGACAGCTGTCTGCTTGCCAAAATTGGTAGGCAGCTATTTACACGTCAATGTTCACGTCTCAAATCTTGATCATGAGAAAAAAACAAAACAAGAACAAAGACTGACTCAACAACCAATCACAGCAGACCTTGCGTGGGTGGATACGATTGGCAGATATATGGTTTGACCTTCAAAGAAATGGCCACAAAGAGATGACAGGTTAACTTTCAGCGAGAAAACAACCAATCAGAAGACGCTGTTTCTTTGCTAATAATAACGAATAATAATGTACATAAAAATATATGAATATCTGTTGATTTCCTCAATAAACGATCTGTTGCCTAACTCTTGTCTTCTGTCGTTACATTTGGATTACTTTCCAGTGAGGTCATGTCATGGCGTGAAGGTGCAAGGTTCGATTCATAGAGGTACGATCACGAGTGCATACTGCCGAATAATCACAGACTAGGAAGGAACAGCTTTTCATTACTGCATGGCTTTCAGTGGTTCTCTAACTGACATCAATCCGTGCTCAAAACTCGAAATCAGTCAAACCTCTGCAAACAAACACTTGAAAACTTTAAGTAAATCAATACAGAAAAAGATAAATAATTTATTTTTAAAAAATAGTAATAATTTTGTACAAAAAATATAACAAAACATATATAATGAATTAAAATTGTCGATATTACGTTGTTGACGGAGATCCCAATCCACCGAGAAGAAGTCGTAGCTCTTTGATAATTGACAAACAGGCAGATTTTTCGACTTTTATACTATCTTTTAAGGATACAGCCTTGATATGCTAGAAAAAAACTATGAATATTATATGAAATTTACTCACCTCCTCTTTATAATCTTCAGTTTCATCTTGTAAATAAACACGTTTGCACATGATTCTATGTACGCAGAAATACATATTTGATTATATATACAGAAAATAATCACCACTTACTCATATTTAGTTTTCATCATCTTATAGGATGATATTTTCTCCTCTAGCAGATTCATGTATGAATTGATTGTGTCCACATCTGACCCATTGAAGTTAACACGAGCTGAAAAGTAAGAAATAGGGAGTACACAAGATTTAATCATTAGATAAAAAAGAGTAATGGTGTGGTAGTGGTGTGATACAGACAATGTGTTCCAACGGAATATTATTCTCACTTATATTTCCAAAGTTCAATTCTGCATTTGAATATTCTATTTTATGTCGTTCAATGTAAAAACCAAAATCACACGCTCAGTGGCTTCTGTGTCTTGCCTTCTGCTGTTACATTTGTTGTCGCTACCTTCAGACAAATGAGCAGCCAATGCCCTGCAGATTATGAAGAAGAAGAAGACATATGGAACAAATAAAGTATAATTATATTTCAATAGTTTACACACAATGATAAGTTTTGTTATTGGTAATATTTCGAGCAAAATAACTTACTGCCCCTTGTTCACACCACTGTTGGAATTGTTTTGTTCACACATTTATGATTTGTACTCATATACATAGTTAATTATTTTCGCTCATTCATGTTTTTTTTTGTATTTAAGTTATATTCTACGTTCATTCATGTTTTTGTATTCAGAATTATATTCCAAGTTGTTGACAGTTGTGCTACTGAGTCACCCTTGTTACATGCATCCGGTGTGATCTTAATGAATATCGATTCTGTTATAAGTCTCTCTTTCCATTTGTTCATATTAGTTTCTAGAATACAAACATTGTTCCAATAGATATTGTGGTTTTTGTCCCATGCATGTGCAGCTATCGATGAATTTTTTTCTAAATTCTTGTAAGCTTGTGTTCCTGTTGGGTTGACCTTTAGTTAGGCGTTTATGTTCATTCACTCTTATTTTGAGTGATCTGGACGTTTCACCCACATATTTAGTCGGACACTCGGCACAAGATATCTGTTTGTAAATTACATTACTGCTTTTATCCATCATTTTTATTGGATCTTTCAGTTGATTTATTTTATTTTTAATTAGATTCGTCAGTCTGAACGTCGTGCGAATCCCAATGTTTTGAGGTTTCTTCGAATTTGGATTCGCACGACTTTCAGACTGACGAATCTAATTAAAAATAAAATAAATCAACTGAAAGATCCAATAAAAATGATGGATAAAAGCAGTAATGTAATTTACAAACAGATATCTTGTGCCGAGTGTCCGACTAAATATGTGGATGAAACGTCCAGATCACTCAAAATAAGAGTGAATGAACATAAACGCCTAACTAAAGGTCAACCCCAACAGGAACTTAAGTTTACAAGAATTTAGCAAAAAATTCATCTATAGCTTCACATGCATGGGACAAAATCCACAATATCGATTGGAACAATGTTTGTATTCTTAAATTTAATATGAACAAATGGAAAGAGACTTATAACAAACTATATTCATTAAGATCACATAGGATACATGTAACAAGGGTGACTCAGTACAACTATCAACAACTTGGAATATAATTCTGAATACAAAAACACGAATGAACGTGGAATATAACTCAAATACAAAAAAAAACATGAATGAGCAAAAATAATGAACTATATATATGAGTACAAATCATAAATGTGTGAACAAAACAATTCCAACAGTGGTGTGAACACGGGCAGTAAGTAATTTCGCTCGAAATATTACCAACAACAAAACTCATCATTGTGTGTAAACTATTGAAATATAATTATACTTTATTTGATCTATTCCGCAATACCCAAACTTTTTACTGACATTAGGGCATATGGATCTTCTTGAAGAACTTGGAGGCTGTTGCACAGTTGAATGGCGTTGAAAATTTGTCAGCGAAGAGGTTGTTACTTGGAACGCTGTTGAGCGGTCGGGCGAAGGCAGCAAATGATAGTGTGAGGTGAAACACCGGCGAATAGGCACCATGGTAACACAAACTGTTTCCAAAGTGGGAAGGATTATACACAGTTACCATCAGAAGTGCAGACAAAGAGGTGCAGGTGAACGTCAGCGGTAAAGCAAGACAAGCAAACAAAGACGCCAGCACCAAGAAGATCAGAACACCTTCAGTCTAAAGTATTTGATGGGAGGGGGAAAGAGTGTGGTAGTGTGATACAGCCAATTTGTTCTAACGGAATACGATTCTCATATATTTCCACAGTTCAATACTGAGTTAGTAACAGAAAACTATACATGTATTGGAATATTCTATTTCATGTTGTTTAATGTAAACCAAAATCACACGCTCAAAGATTGGTTGGTGAACATAAACTGTATAGATATAAATATCTGTTCGATTAATTGAAAATAAACCTTGGCTTCTGTGTCTTGTCTTCTGCTGTGACAATGGGAACAAAATTTATTTTTATCAGAGAAAATAATGATATCGCTTTGCATTGCCACTGGTGCATAGGGTTTCAAGAGTCTCATACTATGAAGTTTCAAGACCAATAGTATTGTTTTGTGGACGTTAGGTTCACGTCCCCCTCAGCCTTCCACTTTTTTCCAGCTTACTATTGACTAGTACGGGAGGGATTTGAAAGAGGTTACTTCATCCACTTATCTAAGGAGCATTGTCTCAACTACGGGAGGAACGGACGAAGATGTCAAATCGAGAATCGGGAAGGCGAGAAACACATTCATCCACCTGAAACCAATCTGGAAATCTTCGTCACTCAGCCTGCATCAACAACAAAATTCGGATTTTCAGTACAAACGTCAAGTCAGTCAGTTCTTCTATACGGATGGATCAGAAACTTGGTGGGTCACAAAGAATATTTCCAACAGCCTGTTGCAGACCTTTATCAACAGCTGTCTTCGCTCTATACTGAAGATCAGATGACCGGAAAGAATCACCAACAAGAAACTATAGGAACAAACAAAACAAGAACCAATTGCCCAATATATATGCAGGAGAAAGTGAAGATGGATTGGACACTCTCTGAGGAGGCCGCTGGGCGACATCGCGCGTCAGGCCATCGCTCGAGTGGAACCCGAAAGGGAAGCGGCGAGTGGGATGTCCAAGGGTGACATGGAGGAGATCGTGTGAAGAGGAGTTGAAACAGTATGGACTAACATGGATGCAAGTGAAAAGTACAGCAGAAGACAGAAGCAAGTGAAGATGTGTCGCTGAAGCCCTGTTTTCCACTCGGAACCCAAGGCTGCGCTTCTGTGCTAAGTTTTACGTTGGAACTTAGTCAGTCAGTCAGTCATCAACACATGATGAGGAACTAATCAAGAAGGAATATGTATCTTCTCTCTAAGCTGGTTGTACTTTCTGACCTTATCGATTGATTTATTCACCACCCACCACCTTATGATCACATGGAATGAGAACAAATTTAGCTGGGCAGTAGTGCCCATCGAATGTCTTAAGTTATTATGGCTTCTTTCCTAAATAACCGTATTTCATAGTCTTAATACAGGATAGAGGGCGGCAACGATGTGCAATACACTTGATGAGAGGACATATAACCTATTTTGATAACTACAAACAGTAATGGACAACATCCCGAATGGTAACATCAAAATCCTCATGGGTGATATGAATGCAGGCCAAACTGGGAGCTAACAATACAGGAAGAAAACTCACCATGGGTCGAGAGGCTGTCTCCCGGAGAAATGAATGAGAACGGAGAACTATTCGCAGACTTTTGCACCCTTTGATGATTTGGTGATCGGAGTCAGCGTGTAAAAACACAAGGATTTCGCCTGATAGACACAACATAAACCAGATAGATTTCATTTCAATGTCGCTCAAGGAAGTGGAGATGCAGCTTGCTGCTTACAAAGTCAAGAAAGGGAGCAGATGTGGGGGTTCAGACTATAATTTAGTTCAAAGAACCATCAAGGTGAAGGTGAAATCCCTGAAAACAACTGGAGACAGGCCACAACTGAAGTCCAACATTCAGAAACTGGACTGAAGGACAAAACTACAAGGGATGCCTTCACTACAGATCAGATCAGAGCAAAGTCTGAGACACTACGTGGCATCATTGAGGAAACCTGCATGGAAGAACATTGGAACTCTCTGAAAGCGGTATTTAAGGAAACGTGTACATCTGTTCTAGGAAGAAAGAAGAGACAAGACAAGGAATGGCTGGCTCTCCACGGATACCTACCTGGAAGCTATTAGAGGAGAGGAGGATGGTGAAAGAGAAGATGACTCAATCCAAAGATGGACAACATAGAGAAAAGCTGGGCTCAGTGTATATCGCACTAAATAAAGAGGTGAAGAAAAGCACTAAGAAAGACAAAAGACATCACGCGCCATGCGCTCGAGTGGAATGGAAATGGAAACGACACAGTGGGTTGTTATGGGCAGATAAAGAGGACGGCAGAAAATAGAAGAAATTGGAGATGTGTTGATGAAGCCCTATGTTCCTCTCGGAATCCAAGGTAGTAATGATAATAATAATAATCTACTTTATAGTGGTGAGATTTCATGAGTCATTGACTCATAAACTTGCTACCTCAACTACTCAACAAAGTCAGATGATCTCATTACCTTGAATTTCATCTGAAAATTGGGAGATTTATGTTCAAGATTAAAGCCAAGAAGTGCGAAATGCAGCGAAAAAGCACACAATAATAATAATAATAACGAAGTGCTTATTGAAAAACTTACACTCAGGAGTGGAGAGTCCTATTTCTTTATCATCTTTGAATTCACACTGTGACTGGTCGTCAAATGCAGAAGTGTGCGTCGATATGGGTGGAAATTCCTCCTAAAATAAGTTGTACAGTAAAAAAGAAACAATTTACTATGCTGCTACCTTTTAAAAGTGTTCCAACTAACTACCTCATGTTCCACTCGAAACCTAAGGGAGTAATAATATACAATAATATGATTTCAGAGTAGATCACAGATTGATATCAATTAGAGAACAACTGAAAACTACCAGAGAGTACTGGACAGTCGTTTCGTCCTAGTTTGAGATTCGTCATCAGTACGCACCCACTGGCTTTCAAAGCCAAGACCTTCCAGTTATACGGCAAGCTCGTATACCATTCAGCCATTGGGACCCGATTCAATGGCCAGCCCATGAATTTTAACCTCTACTCATTCGTTGTTTTAACGCAACCACCAAACAGTATCATCAGCGGACACTCGATCCTCACTCCCGACTAGATGAACCCTCCCCCCGGCTCATGACTTCTCACTATAACTCCAGTGGCTGAATCCTATACGATCTTACCTTGTAACTGGAAGTTCCTGGGTTCATAAACACCCCTGTAGTGGGTGTATGTACTGTCGATGAGTCCCAAACTAGGAAGGAGGAAACAGCTTTCCAATACTCCAGTGCTGGTTTACAATGATTCTCTAGCCGATATCGATCCATGGTCTAACCTGGAGAAAAAAATAGAATCCCTACAAGCTAATTCTTGAAAAATAATGTTATTAATATCAATAATTGTCTAATTATATAATGGATATATAGTTGCAGGATCTGTTGAAGGAGTTACCGAAAATAATATTTTATTTATATTCACTAATTTCCGTTGTTTTTTTAAAAAAAAACTAAGGTCATAAATAGTAAGTAATGAGTAGACAGTTTACTTACATGAGTTGATACTTCGAGTGATTCAATTTCCGATAGAATAAAATCTGGATATTGTGGTGGTGTCAGTTCATAACTTTGCAGTTTATTCAGATAATTGTTATTATTATTTCCATTGAGTAAATTAATATTTTCATTAAATATGTTATTGTATTTTGTTAATTGGTTATTGTGGCAATTATCAGATAATTGTAAAACAGCATCATAAGCACTATCCGTACATGTTTCAACAAGGTCGTTGTTGCTGTTGTCGCCGTTGCTATGACGACGTTTTGAAAAAGTCCTCCAATACCAATGTGTACCAACACGAAGTACTAAGTTGTACAGACGAGTATTGTTGTTCTTGTAAATGTTGAAAAAAATAAACAACAAAGTATTAAATGAAAGATTCAATTATGCCAAGAATGTTGAATTACTGCGTAATTGTTTAAGGGATTTAACAGGCTGAATAGAAGAAAAGACAGTCGAACACCTACTGCCTCGATGGCACAGCGGCTAGGACTCTCGTCGACCATGCACACGGTCTGAGGTAGATCTCCTTTCGACGCACACCTGATATTAATGGTTGGCCTTCAGAATTTCGCCTACCGATATCACATGCTGAGAATTCCAAACTTGTACCAAAAATACGGTGTGGAATCAATTTCTCATCATAAAGGTTTCTGGTATTTCCAAATGAATGAAAAACAAAACGATATTGTTGTCACTTTTACTGACGTTTCGCTATCTAATGCTGCTGCTAATAACTCTATCAAAGTAGTAATATTAAACCAGAATTTACAAAATCCACTCAGCTTATATATAACAACTTCGTTCATCATCGACCCTCAGCATGGGGTCATATTTGCATTGTCAAGTTGGCCAATTGGTAAAGTTAACAAAACCAGTTAGGTGTGGATTGTTGGATTTGATATGTGTTTAAAATTATATAAAAACAGCGTGTGTTTACATAATGAAATTGCTAATCACATTCGTGTTGATTTTATCACTTGATGGGGGTTTGGGCCAGGGTGTTGTTTTTTTATTGCATCACGTTCCCAGTGGAACATAGGGCTTCAAGTCTCCAGCTTGAAGTTTCTGTAGCAGTGTTTATTATTTTTACAGGATAGGGTTGCTAGCCTCATGCCCAACTTTTCCTCTTCGCCAGCTTTAGTTCTGGCTTAACGAGGTAAAGGAGTGCGCCGGCCAGGGATCGAACCCCGGACCATGTGCATGGTCGGCGAGCGTCCTAACCGCTATGCCACCGACGCACAGGGTGTTGTAACCAGACTGAATTCTGTTTTATTCCATCATTCCTATTCAGACAATTTGGATTCCATTCGATTTGAAGTGCTTCTGATAATATAAGTATAAAACTTGGGCACTGTGGTGGTAGAGTATGACTCCATTATGGATAAGTTTTTATTTTGATAAAGTCACACAGTGGAGTGTCATACAGTAATATTTACTACTGATGACCACACATTTCGAGCACAAACTATCGCTCATAATCATATCAAGTCACTCACTCACACAACTTTTTACTTCATTTATATACATGAGTGAAATTGATGATCAGACATTTGATTGGATAAAATCAATATTAGATAATGTACATTCAGAAATAATAATATGAGTGTCAAAATAAGTAACTTGTTATAATGTTATAATGTGAATTGAATTGAATACATTTTAACATTATTTATTATTCTCCGATTTGACTGGTAATAATATCTTCCACATTTCTGGTATTTGCGTTGAGTCATTTCTGTTGCATGTGTTGGGTGTAGACTAGAGGAACCAGAATTCAGTAATCAATTTCTCTCTCGCCTTCTGATGATATCAGACGTTCTTTGTGATTTCTGAAGTGCTTTCTCTGGATGATGATTTCAATATTGTCAAAATCAATTTTGTGGCCTATTTCTGCAGCGTAGCGTGTTGACAAGCTATGGCTGATGATTTTTCAAGCCTTTCTAGTTCAACTGAATTTCTCGGTAGTCGAACAGAGGCAGCTATACGGTGTTCATTTCTTCTGATTTTGATTTTTCTCTGGCGATGTTTGTCCGATGTATATCGCATCACATTCCAAGAATTTTATTTTGTAGACGCAAATAGATAAAGAATCTTTAGAGATTCGGTCTTTTACATGGACAAAGTTGCTTTGTAGTGTGTCTGATGTTGTGAAGAAAACTCTGATGTCGAGCTTATTGAGTACTCTTCTGATATCGGCTGACATCTCCGCTCTATATGGAATGACAACTGTTGAGGTCCATGTTTTCGGAATACGTTTTCGATCATATTTCATGTCAGTATTGAATCTGTCGATGAATTTCCTTGGGTAGTTGTTTTGTTTGAGAGTTTCAGTAATATGTTGAAGGAGATTTGTAGCTCAGGTGGATGATTTTGATGTGGTTGTGTTCTCTGAGCTGGATAGTTAATTTGCGAAGCTTTCATTATTACCCTTCTAGGCAACATCTTCAGTGCATGCTTCAATTTGAAGTGAGCTTTTAGATTTCCCCACAAGTTTATTGGTCATCTCTTCTGGTGACCTTGCACGCAAATTAACTATCCAGCTCAGAGAACACAACCACATCAAAACGCTTCAGTAATGTTTGATATTTCTTCATCTTTTTCTTTCTCATCCGTTAACATCAAAGAGTGTGATCGTCTAAGAAGACTTGAAACAACTGATACCTTTGCGCTGATGGGGTGTGATTATCAGAAATGAACACCACGAAATCCTTTAAAATTATCAATACACAAAATAGCTCAATTCTCTTCAAGTTTGTTGAAGCAATGACTGTCAAACACCTAAGACACAATTTATGTGTCCAAAAAGAAACAGTTATCAGTATTGCCTTGCTCACTTGGTAACTGGATGTATTTATTGCCTCTTTCATTTGATTACGTAATCTTTGACTTTAACTTCTTGTCTTTATTTTACATAACTCCGTTACTATTAAACTGTCTGTCAACTGATATCTTGAAAAAATTGCAAGTATGTTAAAATTGTTACTGGACGTACACAAAAACTTAGTAGTATCTTTGGACTGTAAGTAGCTGATGAGAAGTCGACGAAATAAATGACGATACCATCTTGTTCTGCACAAACTGCTGCTGCTGTTGTTCTTGCTTCATTCATTTTTGACACAAGTATGGAATTTTCAGCATGTGATATCGGTAGCCCAAGTTTAGCAGGCCGACCATTGATATCGGGTGTGCGTCAGCCGGGGATCGAACCCCGGACCATGTGCATGGTCGGTGAGCGTCCTAACCGCTGTGCCACCGACGAACAAATGTATAAAGTTTTTAATTTTCATTTACTTTTCATATATTTGTTATAAAATTATATGTAGCCCGGATACTTTGGAGGATGAGGAAAATCTTTTGAGGGAAATCTTAATAGAAAATGGATTTCCACCACGTTTTATAGACAAGAATATACATTCAAATCCTATGAAACGTGACTTGTCATCCGCACCTAAGAAAATACTGTACATGAGCTTGAAATTCAAAGGTGACTTAGCTTCCGATATCATGAAACGAAGGATATCACAGTCCATGAAAAGAACATTCCCTGTTGCATCTCTGAGAATAGCCTTTATCAGTCGACCATTACTGTTCAATAACCTGAAGGGCAAGATCCCGCTGTTGACCAACTCTTTGTGCGTTTATCAATTCGCCCGCTCGAACTTTGTCACAGACGGTGCAAGAACAATATCCTGCATGGTTGTTACGAAGAGGTGGAAGTGGAGCAATAAGAAGCGCGATTATTGATTATCGGGTCGATAATGATCACCCTATCTCTATCGCCACCGCCTTTAAAGTCATCTACAAGTCAAAAAGTAATTTACCGAACCCGATTGATCAGTATTACTGAAGCCATCTTTGCTATCGAAACAGAAAAGTCAGATCCCTGTGTACAGGAAAAGTTCGTTTAACCCCTCCAATTTTCATGCTCTTAGTCCCTCTATGCTAAAGTATGGTAATCCCTAATGATATTTTGGCTCTACCAATTTTTCATTTTGTCTATTTAATTTGTTTAGTTTTCCTTAATTACAATATCAATTGTTACTATTACTGTTCTCACTTCGAACTGTCCCCGGCATTATTTCACTTGTCGTTATAAATCAATTCTCTTTTACGACGTTAAATCCTATGCTATCAGATATCACACAATATTACGTAACGCTTTTATTTTATTCGATTTGTCTACTAATCCTATAATTGCACACCCTTTTCAAGTTCTATACATCCCATGAATTATTCTCTATAAGACATTAATTGTTTTGCCACTTGACATTCAACTGTGATTATAATCACAAACATTTCAGTTTTAAGTGCATTTCATACTACTACTATTATAATTATTTTACGTATTCACACCTATGATTGGTAAGGTAAGGTACTGTAAACCGTCAGTTTATAAAGCAATTTTAGATAAGCCATCTATAAGAATATAAATCATGTTAACATACCCAAAATTTTGAACAATACTCCATGTGCCTTTTATGACGTTTATCCAGTGCAATTGAAATCCACATTCTTAAAGCGTCAACAGTTTGACGTTCAATAAATCGTTGAACAGCAAGTTTACGTCTCTGCGCCTTTTCATGCCTCCATTCAATCCATAGACGCCAAGCTTTCCATACACGTGCTTGTAAGCATAATGACCAACGGATAACAGCAATGGATTCCAGAGTTTGTGTATTCCTTTTCTCAATTAGTGTTATACGCCAAAGATTTAAGAAGTGTTTCTGTTTCAGATAAAAAGAACATATGAGATGAATATATATATATATATCATGACAGAAGACAAGGGTCAGGCAACAGATCGTTTGTTGAGGAAATCAACAGATATTTATAGATTTTCGTGTACATAATTATTGGTTATCATTAGCAGAGAAACAGCGTCTTCTGAATGTATCTAACAAAATTGTGTTGTCCTTGGACATTGAGTCACTTTTCACCAATGTCCCACTCACGGAAACGGTCTGCTTCATATGCAAATATATAGATGACAACTATCTCAATATTGGAATACCAACAACATATTTGAAGGAATTACTATTGAGATGCACTCTGAACGTCCAATTCACATTCAACGACACCATCTGCAGACAAAAGGATATTATGGCAATGGGATCTCCGTTGGGTCCACTACTATCAGATTGCTTCGTCACAAGCCTCGAGAAAGGTCCACTAAAGCCAAGCATTGAAAATTTGAGACTGTATAAAAGATACGTAGACGACATATTCATTATTTCTGACAACAACAATGACCCCAATCTACTGCTGAAGACATTTAACTGTTGCCATCCAGCAATAAAATTCGCTCTTGTAGTGGAAAACGAGTCAAAAATTCCGTTTCTTGATGTGGAACTAACAAGAAGAACGGATGGGAGCCTGAGAAGATAGATCCATACAATACCTACTTGGAATGGTCAACTAACAAGCTTCTATAGATGGGTACGCATTCAACAAAAGCGAAATTTAATTAAATCACTTGCCACCCGCATCTGCAGTCCCGACGCTCTGGAAACAGAATTAGATTTTCTGAGAGAGATTTTCATCCAAAATGGATACCCACCAAGATTCATTGACAAAAATATCAAACCAAGAATTCGGAAAACCGAAACTCTACTTGCGCCAAAAAAGAAACTCTACATGAACCTGGATTTCAAGGGAGATTTAACAAGCGATATTCTCAAGAGAAGGATCTCATCATCTCTGAGAACATTCTTTGCAGCAACGCTAAGAATAGTGTTCTCCAGTCGCCCACTGATCTGCAGAAGCCTCAAGGACAAGATCCCGCATCTGACCACTTCTATGTGCATATATCAGTTCACCTGCTGCTGTGAAGCCAGGTACATCGGTCGTTCGACGCACACCTTGTCCAAGAGGATTAAAGAACACTATCCAGCATGGTTGCGAAAAGGCAGTAATGGTGCAATAAGGAGTGCGATAATTGAACACCTGGTTAACACTGATCATTCCATTTCAACAAACGCCTCCTTCAAAGTAATCTACAGAGTCAAGAACAACCTATCAAAGGCAATACGGTTTCGCCTTCTTTGTTTTGCTGAAGCTGTGGCTATTCACATAGGAAGACCGGAGCTGTGCATACAAAAGAGAATTACGCAACCACTTCTACTATCATGGTAATAACTTGATTGGCTTTTGATGACTTAATTTTGTTTGTTTGCCTGTTTCTGTAATTGCTTATAATTCTTGCATTCATTTAGAACTCTTACGTAATTTCGCATTCTCTACTTTGTTCCTATGTGTATCCTGAGTAAAACTCACTCATCAAACTATTCATATTATTACACAACTTCTTTTTAACAACCGTTTGTGACAACTCATCACCTTTGTTAATACCCTAATTTCATTAACACCCAATTTTCTTGACCAATTTTGTATTACGTAACTCCAATTACCAATCTTCACCTGTTTGGTTAAAATAACCATTACCAATTGTAATTTTGTTTGACAAACTTAATGTACACATACATACAAAATAACACATATATATTAGCGATTGTACACCTAAGAAAATGAATTCACCACCGGAAAGAGACTCTTCGCTGATCTACGTGTTTTGTTTTCATGGTTGTTTTCTCGCTGAAAGTTAATCTGTCATCTCTTTGTGGCCATTTTCTTGAAGGTCAAACCATATACCTGCGAATCGTATCCGCCCACGCAAAGTTTGCTGTGATTGGTTGTTGAGTTAGTCTTTGTTCTCGTTTTTTTCTCATGACCAAGATTCGGGACGTAAATATTGACGTAAATAGCTGCCTACCAATGTGGTTAGTAGACAGCTCTCACTATATATATGTATATATATATATGATTAACGATCAAATGTATATGACAGCCTGCCTGCCTGACTTCAACATAGAACTTTGTACAGATGTGCACCAGTTCAAATTGCCACACTCTCTCCATGTAGCACACAAATGAAAGAGAAGTGAGTAAAGATAGATTAAAAAGAAACAGAGATAATAAACAGAAATGTTAGTGAGGGATAAAGACTGGTAATATGAAAAAACAACAGAATTTTATTGGATATTATAAGTCACGAGAAGTGAATGCATCTACGCCATCCATATCACTAATTGTCTCCATCAGTCGTTGGTTCTTAGAATCACAAAGACCTCAACCAGGATGTCTACACCCCCTTCCTTACGTGGCTGTTGAGGAATTTATGGACTGATGTTGCCATAATTTAGTTTGACCGTCACTAGCTTTTTTACAACCTGATCCTATGTTAGTCAGTTCCCATCGCCCGTCAGTCGACGAAGGCAATGTTTAGACATGCATAGCACATGTCCTAACCATCTCAATCTGTGTAACTTCATAATGTCATCGATTGATTTTCCCTCCTTACCTTTCCTTACACTCGATGCCTAACTTTAATATTACTCACTCTAATTATACCACCTAACACGAAAGACAGAATGCAGACACCTATGATCAAAGACAGCTAGCTAGTTTTTCCATATTATCCACTTTTAATAGCCATGTAAATGTATAAGACACGAGTACATTGTCTAGATAAGTAATCCTTTAATGGAAACTCACGGAATCCTTCGAAGTAAAGACGGGAGTAAGACAAGGCTGGCTGGCTGCCTACTATCTCCAATGGTTTTCCTGATTGCAGTAGACTGGATAATGCGACAGGCAGAGGTTCGGGCAGCGAGGAAACAGACATAAAATGAACTCACACGAAAAAATTGGAGGATCTGGACTTCGCCGATGATATTTGTCTGATTTCCCACAAACTGGAAGATATGCAAGTGAAAAGCAACAAATCGGCAGAAGAAGCATCAAAGATAGGACTTCAGGTGAACATAGAAAAAACAGAGGTGATGAAGATTCCTGGGTAACACCACCACCAGCAACAACAACAACAGACAACAATCAGCACAAATAGGGGGAATCTGAAAGAACAACCTCCTTCACCTACCGACTTACCTGGGAAGCATTGTTTCAAATACAGGCGGACGGGACTGATGAGGATATCAAAGCGAGGCAAGCTTTCACTACTCTCAAGTCTGTTTGGAGGTCAACAGCACTAGTCAGCATGAAAAATAAGATCCAGATATTCAACTCCAATGTAAAGTCGGTGTTACTTTATGGATTGGAGACTTGACGCGGCGTCATGAAGAGCACCTTAAACAAACTACAGCCCCTCATCAACAGCTGTCTTCGCTCAATACTCATGACCAGATGACCAGAAAAGATCAGCAACAGGGAGGGATCTCTGGGAGTGAACCAACCCGGCAGGAACCAATTGTGCAACAAATAAGCAGGAAGAAATGGAGGTGAACTGGCTATAACTCTGAGGAAACCATCAAGTGATATCACAAGACAGACTCTCAAGTGGAACCCGAATGAGAAGCGGCTAGTAGGTCATACAAGGGTGACTTGGAGGAAGTCATGGGAAGAGGAGATGAAAGCATGTGGGCAGACATGGAGCCAGGTGAAAACGTTGTTAGAGAACCGAACGCAATGGATGGAAACGTGCGGCTGAAGCCCTCCGTATATTTCTCTAGAGACTAAAGGAAACAATAATAATAATAATAGTATTATCTGGATGGATATCACCGCAAACCAGCTTCTGAAAATTCACCACGGAAAATTGAATAAATATCAACATATTCCAAGGCTGAAACATTATTCGTCTAATAACTGGCTCAATGTATAGGAGTTTGCATCGCTGACTGTGTGTGTGTGTGTGTCAGTGGTAGAATACTCGCCAAACACGCAAAAGGATTAGGGCTTGATTTGCGATCGATGAAATACTTTACATTGCCTAGTTTACAAGACTGTAGGAAGCCCGGATAAGAGGGGGGTTAGGCAGAAGACTAGCAACCCCACGAAACCATATAAACGACACCTCTGCTACTGAAATTTTGAAGCTTGAGCCTGTATGTTCTAGGAGTTAGTAGCTGCCACAAAATGAAGTGTTCTGGACAGTTGTTCCGTCCAGTTCACAGGAATTTTGAAACTGAGAACTCACAAATTGTTGTACAAGAAAAAATTCAAAACTTTTCTGTTAACTCATTGGTGTTCAATGATCAGTGTTTATCAAATCCTATACAATTGACCACATAGTGTACCACCAGCTACCACCTTACGCTGTTTGATTTTTACTGATTCTAAAATTAATGTCAATTTACGATCAAGGCTATCTTGAAATTTAATCATTCCACACAAAATGTCTTCAGGAATTTATCATGAACTGACATCGGTTATAGAACCATCGGAAAACCACCAAGGAGTACTGGACAGCTGTTTCGGCAGCCTAGTTTGATACTCTTCAGCAGTGTGTAGCCACTGAGGTTCGAACCCAGGACCTCCCAGTTAAAAAATGAACTCGTAAACCAGAGGTAGTTACCTGGATTCTAGTGGGTACAGCAGGTCGAGTGTGAGGAGAAATATTCACCAGCGATGACATTCGCTAGTGGACTTGTCATATCATGAATTGGCAGAAAATGGAATTCATTAACTAGTAACTGGATCGGCTCCTAGTGGCTTAATTGTCTACGAGCTCGCCTCGTAAACGGAAAGGTCATGGTTTCGAACCTTAGTAGGTGCATACTGGCGAAGAGTCCCAAACTAGGCAGACGAAACAGCTGTTCAGTACTCCCAGGGGGTTTTCCAATGGTCCTCTAAGCGAATTCATTTCATGATGAAATCCTGCAAACTAAAACTTCGAAATATCTTCGTTATTATTTGAACTTCAAAGCATCTTCAGTAAATAAGATTGCATAGGGAAGTGTCTAAGCTATTCAAATTGTTGATTTATGAATAAAGTTAGGTGGAAAAAAACACAAAACGCCTGCATCAGATGAAATATGAATGCTGTGTAAATCCTTTTAATTAAATCAGGATTCAACATATCGAACCACTATGAAATTTAAGGGAGTAAAAACAATGAAACCCTTGACAAACTATTACTGAGATTTAGTAGGAAGATGAAAGGGATTTTACACTTAGTTAATTCAAGAAAGCGGGAAAATCTGCTGTACTCAACGTGAACAGCAAGATTCTAAACCCCAATACTAATGTCAAGTTAGGGCTATTGCTTCAAGATAAGCATTTCCAACAAGCTGTTGCAGACGTTCATCAACGCCTTCACGCTTTTCTTTAAACTGAATATCAGTTGACCGGTCAGAGAGGATAATCAAGCAATAAGGAACTGTAGCAGTGTAGGAGTAGGAGGATTTTCCAGATGTCTGAGACAGGCAGGTGTTGAATCATTTTTATTGAACGTTTTTTCGGTTGATTCGATAAATAAAGCCTAAGTTGTCAATCTCTTCATGCACCCTGTTTTATTAGATTTTAGAACTGTCATTCTATCCTATAATGTATTGTATGGTTGTGAGTACTTGCATGTAGTGAGTATTACATTATTGTTCCCTTGGGGTTCCGAGTGGAACATTTAGGGCTTCAACAACACATCTCCACTTTCTTCTATTTTGTGCAGTTCTCTCTCATCTCCTCCTCCCCAACACACGATCTCCTCCATGTCACCCTCGCATTGACGACCCACTCGTCGCTTCTCATTTGGATTACACTCGAGCAATGGCCTGCATTGCGTGCGATATCATTCGGAGGCTTCTTCAATGTATGCTCTATCCATCTCCACTTTTTCCTACACATTTTTGGAGCGATCGGCTGTTGGTTGGAGCAAGGATTACTCGTTGATGTGAATAGCTCACAACTACTAACCTCAATTAATCAGTAGTATGTACGGTTCTCTGAAAATATGCTTACTTCCTTGATTACCATTTATGGTATCAGGCAGACCATATATCCTGTAATCTGAATAACTTTCAGTCCTCAATAATGGAAACTAAAATAAAATTCCACCTCTTCGAAATGTTTAAAAATATTGCAGTGTTTTTTTTGCAGTTGTTACAATTTATTTTGTAGACGATGTTGGTTTTATCTTCTTTCGTTCGCTGTTGAGTCTTTTGGTTAACAAAGGGCTGGCTGGCTGAGTGATTTTATCGGTTTGTGTGCGACATCAATTCCTAAAGGTTTGAAAAGTCTTGCAGTGATTTCTGAGATATCCTTTATATATGGTAGGGAGATTTTCCTTTGTGCTTTCCTTGGGGGCTTTTGGTTTGATAGGTTGGCGGCTTGAGGGTATAAGGCATTTGATGAAATTTTGTGGATATCGATTCTTTTGGAAGACGTCCATGATATATCTTTCTTCAATTTTCCTTAAGGTGGGAGTGCTCTCACCAACCAAAGACTAAACAGCGAACGATAGAAGATAAAACCAACATCATCTACAAAATAAATTGTAACAACTACGAAAAACACTACACTGGCCAAAGTGGACGTCCCCTTCGTCTTCGTATATACGAACATAAGCTAGCCGTCAAAATGCATGACATCCACTCCCTCATATCACTGCATACAGACAACCATGGACATCAATTCGACTGGGACAACCAACGTTCAAATATTAGACAAGAACGCTAGTCAGGGAATTTTTAGAAGCCTGGTATTCCAGTGAATCATCAATCAATAGACATATTGAGATGGACCGATAAGAAAGAAAACCTCACACACAAAGGGTCAAAGTTCAAGTCAAAGAAACAATCAGTTTCAATACAAGAAGCCTAGAAGGTGTAAAAACACACAGACACAACCAAAGAGTCACTTTCAAGGTGGTCACCAGGAGAGATGACTAATAAACTCGCGGAGAAATCTAAAAAAGAGCTCGCTTCAATTCAAATTGAAGTGTATGCGCTGAAGTTGTCACCTAGTAGGGCGATGAAAGCTTCACAAATTAATTATTCAACTCAGAGAACACAATTACATAAAAATCATCCAGCTGAGCTACAAATCTTCTCCATCATATCTATATTGCAAATTATTTTGTAAATTGAGAATTCGACGTGATTTTCTTTCATCTAGTGATATAACTGAACTGGTAAATTAATTGAAGTACGTAGAGACGACTTAAATCTACAAGTAGAGTAAGCTTCGCCTCCCCCCCCCGCAATCACGATAATCTTGACATCAAACAGCAGTGTCGTTCATTGGGTATTGAGCTCTTCATCCTCATTCATGTACAAGAACTGACTCAGTTTTGACGTCAGAATATGGATGAATCCAGTGAAATTCTCAGCTAGCTAGCTAGCTAGATGATGGAACTGGTTACACATAGAATGTAAGTAGTTATTTACAAAGTATAACTAAACAATGAGTGATAAAACAGAAGAAACATCCTTTGACATTTAACATGTTAGGTAGCACTAAAGCGCAGAGAAATCCACTTTAAAGTTTTCAGATTAATTGGAGGGTTTTATCATGAGCGGACATCGGTTAGAGAACCACTAGAAAATCTGCAGGGAGTACTGGACAGCCAGCTGTTTCATCAGCCTAGTTCAGGACTCTCCATCAGTACGCATCCACCCACAGGAGCCATTCGGACCCAGTACCTTCTGGTTACAAGGCCAGTGAGCTCGTCGACTATTCAGCCACTGGGACCTGATCCAATGGCTAACCCATGAATTCTAACTTCTGTAAATTAACCGTTGTTGGTAATCAACAAAGCTAAACGTGAATGGATCAAACTATACTACTACCGACTGACTGAAGTGAGTAGTTGCAAAGCATTCACATCAACCAGTAGCACTGGACGGCCGTTTCGCTTATTCGGAGCCGAACTTGTAGGCTGTGTATCTGGTTCGACTCACCTCAGAGAGGTGAATCAATTCAAACCATCCGATATTGATATTTTTAACGCATTTACTAATCAAACGAAAAATAATAAAATAACACCATTGAAGGAAGTTACCTGTATTCTTTGATTCCTGAAACAGTGTGCATCATGTTTCAGCTTTAGTTTCTTCTTTCTACCCATAGAATATACCAACCAACCATTGAAACACTGAACAAGAAGACGCATGGAATGAAATCTTTGTGCCAGACGATTGTTTAAGCAGCAATTATATACGGATTTCCAATGGTTATAATACGCCTGAGTTAGGGGAATACGTAGAGACTGTACACCTTGATTAACAAGAATTTGTGTTTGTACACGATGCTCTCGATGAATACGAGACCATTTCAACCATGAGGTGAAAACCTTTTGAAAGAAAAGATATATATTATCAAAATATAAAACAAGTAGTGATGATCTAGATTTTAAAATTGTTTAAAGATGCTTATTATGAATTTCAAAAGATTGATTATTGAACAAAGAGTAGTCTTTTCAATATCTTCATCATCAGGTTCTACAGGTATATATACATGACTGACTGGCTTCAACATAGAACTTTGCACCAATGCGCAGCAGTTCGAGTTGCCACACTTCACTCAGCACACAAAGACAGAGAAGAAAGTAAAAAGAAACGCAAAATAGAAACAGTAAACGCAGATATGAGGCAATATCAAAGAACAATATAGTTTTATTGGGTATTATAAGTTACAAGGAGTGGATACATCTGTGCCAGTCATTGAGAACGATTTTCAGCCATATCACCAGCAGTCTCCAACCATTGGTGTTTACCGTCCCGAGGACCCCAACCAGGAAGTCTACACATTCTTACGTGACTGGCTTAAACTAACAGTTGCGGATTTCATTGACCGATGAAGTCATCTTTTGGTTTGACCATCACTGGCTCTTTTCCAACTTGATCAACCGTATGTCAGCTAACATTGCCCGTCTGTCGATCAAGGCGATGGCTAGGCATGCGTAACACATGTCCTAACCATATCAATCGATTTAACTTCACAGCCTCGTCAACTGATTTCCCCTCCTTACCTAGCACTCGACGCCTGACCTAAATAATGCTCACCTTATTATACCATTTCACACGGGAGATAGAACTCAGGTACTTATGGTCAAAGACAGCTAGCTAGCCTTTTCATGTCTTCCACTCTCAATGTCCGTGTCTCCCTCACAGCCAAAAAGGAGGACGGAGCAAACTGCTGCGCTGAGCAGTACACACGCCCTATGTTCGATAGCCAGCCGGATATCACGTCTACTCAAGAGACGGCGTTAACTGGTATATGCAAAACGAGCGTTCTGTATTCGTGCTGAGATTTCGTTACTGATCAACTTCCCAAATAAGTGAAGTGGTCAAAATGCTCTACCACTTCACCCTCTATTTCTAAGCTAGGAGTCAATGTAGTCCAGTCCTGTAGCCTCATCATCTTACATTTGGAGGGAGCGAATCACATGCCAAACATTCGTAGATTGCAGCTCAGGGTGTTCAGAAGACTGCTCTATTTTGTCAGCGTCTTCACCTAGAAGCAGAACTATATCGTCTGCATATTATAAGTCAACGAGATTATTTCCTGGTAGCAAGTCAATCCATGAGTCCCTGAAGTGAGTTAAGGTTAAGTCCATTAGTACATATATGATGAAATTGAAAAGAAATAGGGATAGTAGGCATCCCTCCCTGAAGGACATCACTGGTTGTCATCAATTCAGATGAGAACTCACCGTCAGCCCTCACCTGGTTACATGAGTCCGAGTAGAGTGCTTTGATCAGTGCAATGTATTTTCTCTTCATTCGCTTTACAGCCGAGCATCGCCAGAGTACCTCTCGGTCGACAGAATCGAATCCCGCTTTTAGGTCAAAAAAATATAACGATCGCTGGACGCCGGCGGTAAGTATGCCTATGTTCCAATATCTGTTGAAGGGTGAAGATATGATCAATACACCCTCTTCCTGGTCTAAAGCCTGCCGGGTTCTTTCGTGTTTGAACTAGTGTTATTAACAACATTAATGCAATGAAGTTCACGAGCAAAGACGAATCCCAAAATAGAATTAACTGCCTTCCTAGATGTCCTCCTTATAAGAAAACAAGATGGTTGTATAATGAAAGTTTGCATTGAAAAAGTACATGGACAGGACAATACAGACATATTTATAGCTTCATTTTTCTTCAGTACAAAAGGAATTTAGTAAGAACCGTCAGACACCGGGTTAGAGTTATATGCTCAGAAGAGGCAATTGAAAATAAACAAAGGATTGTATATGATACCTCAATTGAAAATAGCTGTCCAGAAAAGTTCATCAGGAAACATATGACTAAGAAAGTTGAAAAGGATTACTCACTATCCGTAAACAAGTAGCCTTTATATATACAAGAGCAATTCAAGTGCGATATACCTAGCTAAATAATTGCGAAGAAGTTAAGAAAATCAGTTCAAAGGACTTTTAATGCTGGCAAACTACAAGTCTTATTTTCTACACGGTCGGTAGTGATTCTTCAGTTGAAAGTACCTAGAATAGGTTGTCACTTCCAATTGTATCTACCAATTCAACTGCGCTTGTGTTGTAGCGAGTTATATTGTCCGTTGCTCCAGGAACTTGGTTTCTCGTGCTCTCTCGGCAACACCTACCAGTGTGGTTGAATAAAGGTGTAGTGAGAAGCATCAATACCTCGATATTAAAACACCTGATCCAAAGCGGCCAGCCACAAAGCTAATATTGAAGAGTTCTTCTCCATCATCTGTTGGGTACCAAGTAAATCGCCAAAAACATTCAGGTGCCGCATAATCCAAACAGATGAGGCTATCGCGTTTCGCCCTATACAACCGGTGCTCTGTACGCAGAAGAAGCCCTGGACCTCAGTAGAAACTATAAACTCATGAATTTGTAATATTATCTTTCCTAATTCTTCTGACATCCAGTTTATTGTTATGTTGATGCTATTGAGCTGTAATCTGTTAATATTATTGATTCGATGTTATTTAAACAACGACATTAATGTTGTTCATAACACTTATTCATTTATTCATTCATTGTAATGTATATTTAACTGTAGAGCCTGATGATGAAGGGGTTATCGAAAAGAGTATTCTTTGTTCAGTATCCATTCTTTTGAAAATTTTAATGGGCATTTTTAATCAGTTAAAATTTTTAGTTTTAGAACTCATAAACATCAGTATTCAGTTTTCATTGTTTGAAAGTCAACGGGATTCTGAATTCAGTAAGTTTTCTCTGTATGAACCTACCATTCATAATTAAATATGTGATTTTAAAAAATATACATGAAATTTCTAAACTGTTAGAGTTAAGCTTTGACCAATAATGTGTTGAACATCTTAACCTGAACAATGGAAACTGTACACACACTCCTTTCGACAGTCTTGGTTACATATATAGACATATATCGTTTTGTCTTCTGTTGGTGTATCAATGGTAAAGTGATCGCTAGTCACATACATGGTCGTGGATTCGGTTCCAGGCCACACACACTCCTTAAGATTGGAAGTGAAGCCAGTAACCCCGCTATTGCTACTGAAGTTTCGAACGAAAAATAACTTGAAGCATGGTTTTCTACTTGGGATGTAGGAGAGGAGAAAACTTTGAGTAATATCTTGATTTAAGAGTAAGTTGTGGACATTACTAATTCTATGTCGCACAATTTCTTTGTGCAAAGGTTCCAGAAACTTCACTAACCACTTTGCTATTGCGTGAAATGAAGAGTTACATCTATCTAAAACTGGATGAAGAGGAAGATCCAGTTTGCGCAATTAGGGTAGACCATAAAGACATGGTCCTTATTGGTTTCATAGACTCATACATGGCTGTTGATTATACTCCTTCTGTGATGAACTTTATTTTCATTAAGTCATCAAACATATATAAATATATATTTCATACATTTAATCCCCTTAATGAATTTGAACAAAGCAAGGACTACAGTGATACCATCATTGCTTGTTTCGTTGCCTTCTCATCAGCTGCTTACAGGCCAAAGTCATTATTAAGTATATCTACAGAAACAATTTTAACATACTTGCACCGAGACTTCATTTTAAACAAAAATCAATATATATATGCATACAGTAATAATATGTATATATATAATATTAAACACTATTCCGAACAATAATGATCATACACAATGGAAACTTTTCAGCATTTCGCATTCGGATGAAAGAGAGATGAAAAATATCCAGTTACCAGAAAGGGCAAAGAAAGACTGATAACTGTTTCTTTCTCAACGCATAAATCAGGTTTCAGGCGCTTGATGGAGATAGCTTCGGCAAACTTGAGGAGAATTGAACTCTTTTGCCTATGGATAGTTTTGAACGACTTTCCGACGTCCACCTCATGATCCGTGTTGAAGAGATGCCTGGCGATTGCACTGTTTAAAGCATTTGTTCCCTTTAGACATAAGCTTTTTGGTACATGTTCATAAAATCGTAGATATGCCCCTCTTCATTCTGTCCTTCCAATCTAACTGCTCCCGCAGATACATGTAAATCTGTATATGCAGTTGGAGTTAACATGAGAAGGATATCTATCGATTTTTGATTGCACCAAAGAACAAGTTGTTCGATAGACGGGAACGTGCCTAGCTGCAGAATAGGCTATGGCTAGTGATGTACTCAACCTTTTGTTGATCATTGCTGCAATGTTTTCACCTCTATAATCAAGCTCAAAGTAGATTGGCATTTTCTTCACTGTGATTTGTTTGACATTTAAGACCTCAGATCTTCTAAACTTGTGAATGAACCATTGAGGGTAACCATTGCTCTTCAACATCTTTTCAAGAAACACAAATTCTTCCTCTAATTTCTCTAAAGAACATATTCTACTCGCTTTATAGTACAGAGTCTTTACTAGTCTGCGTTTAAAGCTATTTGGACAAAAGCTTTTAAAATATAAGTAGTGCCCTTTCCAAGTAGGCTTTCGATAAGTTGACTTCTGATGACTACCATCTTCTAGGTGTTGTATGGCAATGTCGAGGAAGTGGAACTTTCCGTCACTTTCATGTTCCATAATAAACGCAATATTGATGTGTGCATCATTGAATAATCTGAGTAAGTTGGTAGGAAGCATGACTTTCATTGTTGCACACACTACAAACGTGTCATCAACATATCGATTCATTAGCTTGTTAAAAAGGAGGTTTAAATATTTGGCAGGACGCCCATTGTGAATAGGCAGTCACAATAATGGGTGTCAAAGAAAAAAAATTTTTATATATCGCCTTCTACAAACATTACCATAGAAACGGTAAACACAGAGCATACCTTTCAGATAACTTAAAAAAGTCTGTAAAACTGAGTGAAAGAAAGAATGGAGGGGTGGCGTAGGGGGTGGATATATGTGCAATCAAGACTTACCTTTTCTAAGCATTGTATAGTTTTCAATCTGTGAAAATTATTGATAGTAATTTCTTGTGATTTTTTATTATGAAGGCTGTTTACCCAACGACGAAAATACTCCTTTAATAGTCTATTATTTTGACTACTTATATACTGTGAGGATTTCAGTAGTATTGAGTGTTTCGTTGTAGTAAAATCTTTCCATTTCATTAAACATTGTTCAAGTAAAGAGTGTTGCCGCTTCATCTTTAAATAAGAGACATTTAAAATAAAAATTATTATTATTATTGTAACTCAAAGTTAATCAGCACACCTTGGAAGATTACGTCATCCTGTTAAAAAAACAAAAAAAACTGCACTATTGGCAAATTTAGACATAATTTATCGATCAGATCATAGTGGCTAAACGGTCCTTATTGTCGCCTTGCAATTGGAAGGTCCTGGGTCTCTGAAACCAGGACGAAACAGCTGTCTAGTACTCCCTGGTGGTTTTTCATTGGTTCCCTAACTGATGTCACCTCGTGATGGAACCTTGGTCTTGCAGCCAGAGTGATATCACCATTCATACACTGCGTTATATAACCTGATATGTCAGGTTTCCTAAAGATTTTAATTAAAGTGATTACTCGGGTTTGGTTACGTCACAAGAGTAAGCGTTACAAACTAAAAAACACTGATTGGACAGTTGTTCCATGTTAAATTATGTTTGTTTTTATGAGTTTGACCACGGATTGATATTAATTGGAGTACCAATGAAAACCAAGGAGTACTGGACAGCTGTTTTGTCCTAGTTTGGGAATCGTCTGCAGTACAAACCCACTGGGATTCGAACCCAGGACTTTAAGGTTACAAGGCAAGCTCGTATGCCATTCGGCCACTGGGACTCGATTCAATGGCTACACCGTGAATTCTAACTCCTACAAATTCCTGGGTTCGAACCTCAGTGGGCGCGCACTGCCAATGATTACCAAACTAGGCGGACGAAACAGCTGTCCAGTATTCCCAGGTTTTCCATTGCTTCTCTAACTGATGTCAGCTCATGATGAAATTCTCCATCCAATTATATATATATATATGTTTTTATGCATAGAATATTCTAGAATTGTGGTCAATAACAATATTAGTGTGCTTTAAATAATATTGATTTGTTAAGTAAGATCACAATGGAATTACAGTACATTAAATATGCTTAAATTATTATAATAATAATAAAGATATAATAGCAAATAGAATATCAACTAAAATTAAAGAAATTTCCACAAAAATTCAGGATCATTCAAACCTAGATGGCCAAGAGGTAAGGATAATGTCTGAACTAACTTCTTTTGGACGCACAAATTAGGCTTCTTAATATGGATCCCAACAGCCGGCCTCAGCAATATTTATTTGTCGAACTCTTAAGGCGAAATTGAGATTTAGATGGTTGGAGGCAATCGGCCACAGAAAGCTTTGCTCTCTTGACATAGGTTTCGTCCTAGTTGGCACTCACTAGTCAGCAAGGCGTATCTGCAGCCTTGAAGGAACTCATGTCCCTTCTGAGATTTGAACCGGCATCACCCAGTGCTGCTTGTAGTCAGAGACGGTACCACTGAGCTATTCAGGCTCGCGATAGGCCTCCTGTAGGACTGTATTGGAGACTTTGACTGGACTGACTGCTTAGTGACTAGTGTGATGTGTCTAGTCTTTTTTTTGGTGCACGCTGAATTCTGTCTGTCACTTTAGAGAGATCATAAACTTTACACTAATGCCACGATTTTTAATTAATAATAATAATCATCCTTGTTTGTTTCTGATCAGATTCTTCTCAGTATTGTTAGTTTCTCCTTGTCTTTCGTCTTCATTTGCCTTCCCACTTTCTCTATAATGTTATTCAGCGTACTACTTACATCTCGTGTATAGATAATACATACAACAATAATAACCCATGCTAACATTTTGTAAGAACTGGTAAAACCATAAGCTGGATAGTTAATTTGCGAAGCTTTCATCGCCCTACTAGGCAACATCTTCAGCGCATACTTCAATTCATTGAAGTGACTTCAACTGCATGTGTTGTGTTGGGTGTAGACTCGATGAACAAGGATTCAGTAATCAATCAATCTCTCTCTCTCTCTCAACCTACCTATATCACGTTTTAGAATTTTAACTTTGTCCCACCCACTCTATTGTGTGCTTATGTGTTAATGCATGATTACAATGCAGTGCTGAGTCTTTTGTAAATTGCTTACCTTCTCAGGGTCAACCATTCTTACCTTAGCTAAATTCTTATGTTTCGACAATCTGACTACCTCCGATCTACTAGTTTGACCTATGTAGTTGGCCTTCCTCACACTCATTGCAAGGTATTTTGTAAATTATATTATTATTATTGTTCCCTTGGGTTCCTAGTGGAACATAGGGCTTCAACTGCACGTCTCCACTTACTTCTGTCTTCTGCTGTACTTTTCACTTGCATCCATGTTAGTCCATACTGTTTCAGTTCCTCTTCACACGATCTCCTCCATGTCACCCTTGGACGTCCCACTCGTCGCTTCCTTTTCGGGTTCCACTCGAGCGTTGGCCTGACGCGCGATGTCACCTAGCGGCCTCCTCAGCGAGTGTCCAATCCATCTCCACTTTCTCCTGCATATTTGTTGGGCGATTGGTTCTTGTTTTGTTTGTTCCCATAGTTTCTTGCCTGTTCTTGTTCTTTCCGGCCATCTGATCTTCAGTATAGATCGACGACAGCTGTTGTTGATAAAGGTCTGCAACAGGCTGTTGGAAATATTCTTTATGACCCACCAAGTTTCTGATCTGTATAGAAGAACTGACTTGACGTTTGTATTGAAAATCCGAATTTTGTTGTTGATGCAGGCTGAGTGACGAAGATTTCCAGATTGGTTTCAGGTTGATGAATGTGTTTCTCGCCTTCTCGATTCTCGATTTGACATCCTCGTCCGTGCCATCTGCCTGTAGTTGAGACAATGCTCCCTAGATAAGTGAATGAAGTAACCTCTTTCAAATCCCTCCCGTTGATGGTGATTGGCGGTGTATGTTGCTGCTGCTGTTGTTGTTGGTTGGTTGGTTATTTTCATAACCTCCGTCTTGTCTATGTTCACCTGGAGTCCTGTCTTTGCTGCTTCTTTGACCAGTTTGTCGGTTTTCGCTTGTAAGTCTTCGATTTTGTGTGACATCAAACATAAATCATCCACGCGCGAAATCCAGGTCTTCTAGGTTCTTCATGTCGGTCCAGGATATTCCTGTCTTCTCGTTTGTAACTGTCTGACGCATAATCCAGTTCACCACAATTAGGAATATCATTGGTGATGATAAGCCCCCTTTTCTGACTCCTGTGTTTACTCCAAACGCCTCGTTGAGTTTTCCGTTGTGGATCACTTGACATGTGCCGTTGTCGACATGTGCCGTTGTTGTAAATTATTTGATTTTGTCTAATTGGATCAACCTACAGGGTCCTTTAACCTACAGAGTTTGTCCTACCTGAGTGAGTTTGTAGGTTTGAATGCCACCACCCTATTTCCTGCTTTATTGAGAATCCCAAGTAGAATCTCAGATATCCCCTTTTTATATTGGTATAAATGTAGATGCCTTGTATTCTCTATTATTGCAGAAGTTGCATCCGCGTTACTCATAGTTCAGATTGGACAGAACAGCATGATGATATATCCAACAGGACAGAAGCTCCAAAGAGGGAACAGGAATTGATACTGAGCGAGAGAGTAAGTGAGGCAAGTTTCTTCACAAAGGATGATTCTTGCAATTCAACAGCTAGGAATTAAAACATAGTATCGTCTAATTTGTCAAACCAACGAGTACTGGCATTCGAAGTTGCAATGGAAAAAGTCATCAAAAATGTTATCTGTAGTCTTATATCAACACCAACTATTATTCTTCCATATCTTTTTATTCCTTTGCGTTCTCAGTAGAACATAGGGCTTCAAGCTGTCTGTCTGTCTGGATTCAACATAGAACTTGGCACCGAAGTGCAGCAGTTCGAGTTGCCACGTTCCAAATACCACACAAAGGTAGACAAGACAAGAAGATGAGTGAAGAGAATCAATAGAGTTTTGACAAGTATAACAGTGAAACAGAATGAATAATGGTAGAAAGGAATATGAGAGATTACAGAGACTGAATACATTTGCGTAAGCCATTGACAACGATTTTGAGCCATGTCACCTATTGTCTGTCTCCAGCCATTGATTCTTAGAGTCCCGAGGGCCCCAACCCGGAAGTCTGCATCTCCCTACCTGACTCAGTTTAACTGTCAAGGATTTCATGGATTGATGAGGCCATGATTTTGTTTGGCCACCGCTTACTCTTTTCCAACCTGCATCTATATCAGCTAGTAATGCCCGTCTGTCGGGGGAGGCGATGGTTAGGCATGCGCAGCACGGGCTTCAAGCTAGAGGCTTGAAGTTTTGTTAGCAGCAGTGGTGATCATTTTTACAGTATGGGGTTGCTAGCCTCATGCCCCTCACCCAACCCTCCCTCTCTACCAGTCCTATTACTGGCTTAGCAAGGCAATGGAGGAGTGCGTCGGTAGCTGGGAATCGAACCCCGGACCACCTGAAAGGTTGGCGAGCACTCTACCGCTGTACCACCAACGTACAAGAGTAATAATAATAATAATAATGATAATATGAAGTGATTCAACTTACAACAATACACTCAACTACATTTTGACGATCAACAATTTGACAATGGTACAATATCCAGCCATGAAAACACTTTTTCACTTGATTCATTTTGTAATGCCTAATCGCTATTTCTGTTGACTGTCTTATCAGCCTCTTTGTCAGTGTATAATTAATCCATAAGGAGAAATATCGCTGACGGATTAATCGTACATGTAGATTGTGTGCACTACACTGCATTCGACGATCAATAATACTTAGCTCACTTTGAGTTGACCAGATTTTTAAGCATGATTTCAAAATTCTATACCTAAAATAAAAGGAGAAGGAAGCTTATTAGGAAAGGCGAAGTTAATAGGTATTATAGCCAAAGTCAAGGTCTTTTCAAAAGTTGACCTTCAAGAACTGATTAGACACAGGGAATGCTATGAAATACCATCCCAAAGGAAGTCAGGCCTGCCGTTTTTGGAACTGGAGAGGATAGATACAGTATTCTGCTTATTTACTAGGTAATTTTTTCTGCAGATCTATACTGTTAGGTAGGGTTATGGCCTCTTGGGTCTGGGCTTAAGATTGGGATTAGAGTTGAATTTAATATCAGAAGTTAAGATT